CTCAGGTACTCAGTGTGTCGTCATGCCGCAGGTAGCAAGTGATTGTTAGGGTGGCATGCCCAGGATGAGACTGGAGTCAGGTGGGGCAGGGGATTGTCATAGATTGAAATGTGTCCCTCAGTAACTTGTGTCTACTTGGCTGGGCCATGATTCTCAGTGATTTGGCAGTTATGTAATGATGAAATCGTCCCCCATGATGTGATCAGTGTCAGGGGATTGGGGGGGTGCAGCCCCTTATTTAGGTAACAGCCCTGATCCCATGTGGGGTAGTTTCTCTGGGGCTTGTCCTACATCATCTGTGATCCAACAAGAGATACAAGGAGAAGCAAGCAGAGAAGAGAAGAGCAAGAAAGGAAAAGAACCAGAAGTGGACCCCAGTGTTCCTGTGCTGAGAAGCTCCTGTTGTTGTTGTTAAGTACCGTGGAGTCAGTTCCGACTCATAGTGACCCTGCACAGGGTTTTCGAGACTGCAAATCTTTTTGGGAGAAGAAAGCTTCATCTTTCTCCCATGGAACAGCTGGTAGTTTTGAACTGCTGACCTTGAGGTTAGTAGCCCGATTCGTAACCACTATGCGACCAGAAGCTCCTAGACCCAGGGCAGAAGATCTAAGACACGTGGCGATCTCTAAGGCACGTTGGCCCTGCAGCTGCTGAAAGGGGACAAGGACCTCTCCACAGAGCCGATGCCCTGAATTCAGACTTCTAAGCTGTGAGAGTACACATTTCTGTTTGCTAAAGCCTCCCGTCTGTGCTATTGTATTATAGCAGGGATCTGAGAGATGACGGGGAGTCCAGCCCCAGAGAGAGACCCTCCGTGAGGCACTGACGAGCTGCAGAGGTGGGGGAAGGAGGTCTCCATGCCAGGCTGGGAAGCCAGGGCTTTTCCCTGGGGAGAACATGTGAAACGTGTAGGATAAAGGAGTGACGTGATTTGGAAACATTTAGGGAAAATACATGAAGTCACTCTTTCTTTCCTTATCAAAACTATAGGGACAAAAAGCAGTCTGAGGCAACTTTGGACACTCAAGCACTTTAATTATTAGAACATCAAACTGCTGTTATATGGCTCTTCCTGCAGACTTCAAATCTTCACGGCAAACTTGCTTTCCTAGAAAGACTTTACTATATTATGTGGGAAGGGGTAGGGTGCAGCAGGTAGGAACAGGGTGCACTCAGTCCTTCTTGGCAGCCAGGACAGGACTCAGCTCCTCTCTCTTCTTCTTAGTGAGGCCGTACGTCCCCACCCTCTTCCTGATGAACTTGAGAGCCTGCTTGGCCTTGGCCTTGAGCAGCTGCATGGTGAGGCATGATGGTGGATCATGCCCACACAAACTGGGTTGTTTGGTTCCTTCATGTTCCTGGTCATCTTGGGCTCCTTGTTGAGGCCTACAGCCGTGAGATTACACACAACCATGACTGCTCTTCTGCAATGGCTGCTGGGACGAAACACCCCACCTCAAACTTTCCACACAGCCAACATCAAAGACTCGATGCCCCCATTTCCCAGAATAGTGGGATCTCAGAGAGCCACCAGACTGGAATGGCGTGTAGGGTTCACACTGTCCACAACACACCTAGAGTTGCACACATGACACTGTTGTTTGGGAGCCTTCTTTGGGTCTTTCTTGTCACACCTCGACCTGTAGAAGATTTCTGGAGTGAGTTGCTGTGCTTCTCCGTTGTCGCACTGACTCCATTTGATTTTCTAAGTTGTGGGGGATGGTAGCAGACGGGAATGTGGGTGGGATGAGAAGGTGGCAGGCGGCCACCACATCCTTAGAAAAGAAAGTGTGTGTAAGTAATTTGGGGTCAGCTGTGTGTGCTGAGAACTGACTGGTCACCAGGAGACCGACTTGAGTGCTAGATGAAGTGAAGACGCTGAGCCGCAGTGAAGAGTCTGTGTGGGGGAGATGTCACTGAGCCATGTTGGGTTCCTCACGGTGGCTGAACAGATTTACTCCCCAAGACAATGTGCCGCCCACCCCAGCCCTGTCACAGCGAGGGCCCAGGCTCCGTGGCCTCAGGAAGCTGCCCAGACAGCTTCTCTCAGATGGTGAAGTGCCACACGTTGCAAGGGAAGGTGTCACATGGGGCATAGTTACTAACCACGGCGCTCGTTCTCTCGTTCCAGTTCCATACCCTGTCCCTGCTGACCCTCCCTGATGCCCTTATTACTGAACAGGAAATATTAAAATGTTTTCAAAAGCCATTGTCAGGAGTATGAGATTCTACCTCAAACCCCTGGCCTTCGGTGAAGTAACTTTTAAAGCAACACTAAAAATAAGTTCCCTAGAAATTAGCCTCTACAAAAATGGGTGTTTGTAAAACTCGCACATTTTATGTGGTATTTAAATAAAAATAAAGTGCCTTTTTATGACTAATTTGGCTTACAAAGTATTTTCATGTTAGTGTGTTTTTTGTTTTGTTAATGCATTTGGGTAAGTTTAGCACAATATTCCAGCTAGGCTTTCTTTAAAAATCAAAAATTTCTTTTGAATTATTTTGCTTTTTTTATTCACCCCAAACACAGTTTCAGTTTAATGACTTCAGTAAGTCCGTGGGATGATAGAAGCTTCTCTTGTTGGTGATGATTAAGGGGAAGGATGCCGTTTCTGCCCCATGGCGGCAGCGTGTTCCCACTCCGTTCACTGTTCGCACTGTGTGTGGCCATCAGAGGCCAGCGCTTAGAGAGTTCATCTGTGCCTTTGACAAAGACCCAGTACTGCTATCTGTGGGTCAGGTCACTCCACACTGCTCACCTGGGGGCTTCCCATCGAATGCTGGCCTGTGTGTACATATGTTACATGCCTTTTCATTTCCAGTGATTCCCTGCTCAGTTCTAGAATATTCTAACCAGTTATCCAGAAAGTTTGGTTCTGGGACATTTGAAGACACACAGAGTGAATGTGGTAGTGGTAATGTGTCATGGAGTTGGTTCCGACCCACAGCAACCCTGTATAGGGTTTCTGAGGCTGTAAATCTTTATGGGAACAGAATGTTTCATCTTTTTCCAGTGGAACCGCTAGTAATTTTGCACTGCTGACCTTGAGGTTAGCAGCCCACTTCATAACCACTACGATACCAGAGCTCTTTATCCCTGATTATTAAACAAGTTACCATTAATCATAATCAAGTAGAGAACTTGGTTAGGAAGCCTGTGGGTCTCACAAGTCTGGGCTGTCAGCTTGAGTTTAAAAGCATTGTTGTTGTTGTTAGGTCCTGTCGAGTCATTTCCGACTCTTATTGATCCTGTTTAGGGTTTCCAAGGAGCAGCTAGTGAACTTGAACCTACAACCTTGCGGTTCAAAACAACTCTGTATTCCCGCGCATTAACCCACAGCACCACACCAGGACTCCGGTAAAAGCATTAGGAGCCCATTTCTTGTGCTGTCGTCATCCTTAGCAGGAATATCTGTATATGTGTGCATGTGAAGGAGTGTGTGTGTGTACACAGAGGCATGACTCTGCACTTATATTTGTCTTGGCTATCTAGTGCTACTTTAACTGAAATACCATAGGTGGGTAGCTTTAAGAAATGAACTCCACTCTCTCATCATTTAGGAGACTGTAAGTCCAAACTCAGGATGGCAGCCCCAGGGAAGGCTTTCTCACTCCTCCTCTCTCTCAGCTCTGGAGGAAGTTTCTTCTCAGTTTCTGCTCCTGTCTGTTCTTCGTGTGCCTTGTTGTTGTTGTTATATGTTGTGGAGTTGGTTCCAAGTCATAGCAACCCTGCATAGGGTTTCCAAGGCTGTAAATCTTTACGGGAGCAGAAAGCCTCTTCTTTCTCCCACGGAACAGCTGGTAGTTTTGAACTGTTGACCATGAGATTAGCAGCAGTATTCTTAACCACTACGCGACCAGAGCTCCATCTCTGCTTGCTTATTCTATTGTTTAATCTCCTTGATTGGTCTAAGCCACACCCTACACTGATACTGTCTCATGAACACAACAAAGAAAATCCACTACCTGATTTTCAGTACATGTTTTGGGAGGACATAGTCGATCTATAACACAACAGTATTTGTCCATCTATATAGTATATTATATAGTATATTATGGAGAAGAGGCTGCCTGAAAGAATAGTTTCAAAGAACCTCTTATTTGGCCGCTTACAGAAAACAGACCAACCTTGGTTTGAACCCACAGTAGATAATGGGGACTCACTGTATTTTCCCTGTGGGTCAGTTGGCCAGGGCATGTTTATGGAGGAGACAGTGGTGGTACAGTGGTAGAATTCTTGCTTTCCATGTCGGGGACCTCACTTTGATCCCAGCCTCTGTGCTTCATGTGAAGCCACCACCCATCTGTCAATGGAGACTTGCATGTTGTGAGGATGCTAAACAGGTTTCAGTGTTGCTTCCAGAGTAGGAGACTAGGAAGAAAGTCCTGGCAATCTGCACGTAAAAATCAAGTCATGAAGATTCTAATGGAGCACAGTGGTGGGCTCTGCAAACTATTGTGGAGATGGTAGATGAACAGGCAGGCTTTCATTCTGTTCTACGTGGGGTTGCCATGAGTTGGTGGCAGTCAACAACCAGAGCAACCACTGTGCATAACTATTAATTATCATACCAGGGGATTTTGATCCCAGAGAATGAATCTTATTACAGCGCATTGATGCATCTGCACAGAGAGGTACGGTTGGATGTATGAAATATCTAGACCCATGTTGCTGTGAGAGCCTTGTCACAGAATGGAAAGGACAGTGTCCTGGTGTCGTCACAGAGTGAGAAGGGCACTGGCCCAGAGCTGTCACAGAGTGGGAAGGACGTTACGGAGTGGGAAGGATGTCATGGAGCAGGAAGGGCGCTGGCTGGGAGCTGTAGTGCTGCCCTTTCACTGACGGTATGTGGGACTCCCATGCAGGTACCATCTTGGTGTTGCCACCTTCACGCTAAGACCTGGGTTGGATCTAAAGACTCCTAGGAGAAGCTTCCCTGGTCCACCATTCCATGTGTCAGGTGGTCTGTGGTGAGCTCTGACCATTGTGTTGTCCACAGGGCGTTACCTACTGTGGAGAAAGTTCCGCCAGCAGCCTGACCATGGCCAATGTGCCCTGGCATGAGGAAGTGGTGCGTTTTGTCCATGAGCTGGTGGATCTGCTCCCGGACTACGGTGTCGCATGCGAGCACGAACACTCCAACTGCCTCCTGATAGCGCACAAAAAGGTAACGCCTCCTCTTGTCAGCCGCACCTTTATTGCTCCTTCCTTCTCTTTCTCTGTGTTTCCCCCTCACCTCAGCCTAGCGAACATCTGCTGGTTTACTGCCTTTCCTAAAACTCACATTACGAAAGTCCTGAGTTCTGCCTGTTGGGCTCTTACTGTGTGAAATGGTTTCTCTTTGAGCTCACACCTAGACATTTTCAAGTACTCTTTGATGTGTCATTCCTGAAATACCCCAAACCAAACCCACTGCCATCAAGACAGCCCATTCTGACTCATAGTGACTCTGTATAGAGTTTCCAAGACTGTAGATCTTTATAGCAACAGACCGCCTCATCTTTCTCTTACAGGACAGGTGGTGGGTTTGAATTGCCAACTTTGTGGTGAACAGCTTAATTCCTAACCCATAGCATCACCAGGGCTTTAAAAAAATTTTTTTAGACAGATATCTGCTAAAACAAAATTTAGCTTCCTTGTAGTAACATCTCTCCTTGAGTGATGCTGTGTGGGACCTATATAGGGTTTAAATCTTTATGGGAGCAGAAAGCCTCATTTTTCTCATAAGGAGTGGCTGGTAGATTTGAACTGCTGACCTTACTGTTAGAAAGCATAACCCACGACCCGTAGCCAGGGTTCCTCCCTTAAGTAAATAACGCCTAGCAAAGGAACAAGTCAGTTCTTGGTGGAGGTAGGTCATTAGACTAAGAAAAGATCTTAGTTAGAACTGCAGTATTACCAATCTTTACTGAAATAGTTACAAATGAAATAATGTGCTGTTTGGGATTTGAATCCGAATTGTGCAGAATGTGGAGCTCGGATGTCTCTGTGAGCTGAGGGCTGTTGAGGTAACAGGTACTTTGGGGTGTGTCATGCTGTGTAGCCTGGCTGAGCTTGGAAATGCTGTGCTACGTGGAAGAAGCCCGGCACAGAGAGCCTGGATTCTGCGGCCCGTTGATGCAGTTCCTAGAAGAGGTACACCTACAGGTAGCAGATTGGTGGGTGCCAGAGGGCCGGGAAAGAGAGCCCTGAGAAATGTCTGCTAATAGATAGGGAGTTTTTCCTTGGGCTGATGAAAATGTTCTGAAATGATATAGTGGTATTGGTTTTGTGAATATATGAGAAACCACTTGAATTGCATCCTTCAAAAGCCTGAAATTTTCTTGTTTGTGAATTGTTGTTAGGAGCCATTGGTGAATTATACCACAACAATGCTGCTATTTAAAAAAAAAAAATCAAATAAGGTGGATGTGGGAAGACTGTTGATGGATACCAAAACGATAATGCAGGTTAAGGGTGGACTGTTGTTGTTGTTAAGCGCTGTCGAGTCGGTTCTGACTCATAGCTACCTTGTATAGCATTTCTGAGGAGTGGCTGGTGAGTTTGAATCACCGATCTTTCAGTTCAAATTGACCTTGCAGTCCAGCGCATTAACCGGCAGCGCCACACTAGGACTCCAAGGATGGACTACTTCTTCTTACATAAATTATTTTTATGCAAGTAAAGACCAAACCACTAACCCCATTGCTGTTGAGTGAATTTTGACTCACAGCAACCCTATATAAAACAGAGTAGACCTGCTCCATAGTGTTTCCAAGACTGGACTCTTTATGAAAACAGACTACCACAGCGTTCTCCCATGGAGTGACTGGTGGATTCGAACCACCGACCTTAGGATTAGCAGACAAGCACTTTAACCCCAGCACCACCAGGACTCCTTCTGTAAGTAATATCGGTTTTACTTGGTACATGTTCTCCCTAGAGTCCGGTGACTTCCTGCTTGGGACGGCACCTCCTGTCCAGACACCAGATGGGCTGGTCAGTCCAGGTCAGTTTCTTGCCAGTGCTGCCTGGACCCCAGCTGCACAGGCATTGCTTCCTTCTCTGACCCAGGCTCCCAAAGCGAGGTCACGGCTCATAGGTTCAAGGGCTCAGTCCTCAGAAGCCAGCCGCCAAGTTGACACTCACACGGCTACCTCACTTCTGACCTGCAGGCTGCAAATCCAGGGTTTTCCCACTACCCCTCAGGATATCGGCTGTAAATTGGATGTTTCCTCTTGCGAAAGCCATAAGCCTAGCCGTGTGCTCAGGAGCCCCCAAGACCCCTGGCTTTTGACCTGCTGGCACCCACGACTCCCTCAGGTGTGATCATTCAGTAGAACGACTCAATTACATTTCGTTCTAGCAGAAATACTGTAAATGAAGAGATGCAGAGTGCGAGGTCTGGAGGGTCTCTAAAGGCAGAGCTTCTGTGTCCCAGAAAGCAACAGGCTACCCTCCTCCGTACATCGATGTCAGTCACCAGCCAGTGAGCCCTGGAGCGTCAGTGTACAGAGCTTTTCTTGGAGGAGTTCCTAGTCCTGCTGCCATCATCTGTATCTTCTCTCAGACTTTCAGACATGTTGGGTTTTTGCCAGGTTCATCTGAAAGGGTCTCTCCAGAGGCCCTGCCTGACTCACACACTTAGGACAGCCCATCCTCTATGTCTGAGGTGCCCCTGTCATCCGGGGCTCACTTTCTGCTCTCTCCTGGGGGAGATCCTTGGTTTCTGAGATCCCTTATCTTGTTAACAAGCCCGGGTGCTTGTTACCAGCTGCTCTGCAGGAGAAAACTGTGGCACACTGCTTCTGTAAACATCTATGGTCTTGGGGGAAAATCTGGGGGGTCAGAGTACTGTGTTCAGTAGGGTCACTATGAACCTGAATTGACTCAGTGGTGCCGGTGGGTTTGGGGTTTTGGCTTTTTTGGTCTCTTGGATTTACTGCTTGTTTCAGTTGAAACCCATCTCCCAGTAACTTCCTAATTAGGGGTCTGTGGGAAATAGGTTAAGACATTGAATATACAAAAATAATTTTATTCTTCATATACTTGGTTCAAAATACCAGTGTCATACCTTCTGAGAAACTGGATTGTATCACCATTGGGGGAAGACTCATTAACAACCTACAATATGCAGATGATACAACCTTGCTTGCTGAAAGTGAAGAGGACTTAATATACTTACTGATAAAGGTCAAAGACCATAGACTTCAGTATGGATTGAAGAATGTAAATGTAAACAAAACAAAAATCCTCACCAGTAAACAACATCATGATAAACGAGGAAAAGATCTGAGTTGTCAAGGACTTCATTTTGCTTGGATCTACCATCAACACTCATGGAAGCAGCAGTCAAGAAATCAAATGCATTAGGCAAATCTGCTGCACAAGACCTCTTTAAAGTGTTGAAGAGCAAAGATGTCAGTTTGAGGACTAGTGTGCACCTGACCCGAGCCATGGTATTTTCAGTTGGATAGTGAATTAGGAAGATGGTAGAAAAATTGATGCATTTGAGTTATGGTGTTTGAAAAGAATGTTAACGATACCATGGGCCACCAGAAGAACAAACAGATCTGTGTGGACAAAGTGCAACCAGAATGCTCCTTAGAAGCCAGGATGGCCAGACTTCGTCTTCCTACTTCAGACATATTGTCAGGAGGGACCAGTCCCTGGAGAACAACATCATGCTTGGTAAAATAGGGCCAGTGAAAAAGAAGGAGACCCCCTTTCCCCCCCCCCAAAAAAAAAAATATATATAGATTGGCACAGTGACAGCAGCAAAGAACTCAAACAGCAGTGATGGTGAGGGTAGAGCAGAATCAGCTGGTGTTTTGTTCTGTTATATGCACGGTCTCTATGGATGGAAACTGACTCGAAGGTACCTAACAACAACAACAACAAAATTAACAATATATACCTGATTTAGTTGGAATTGACTCACTGGCAGTGGTTTTTTTTTAAGTACTTGATTGATAGTTTTGCCAAATATAGAATTCTGGGTCAGAAATCCTTTTCTGTGTATGGCTGAGTTTGTATTTAAGCTTTCAGCACAGTTGTTGAGAACTGAAGGCATTTCGATTCTTTATCAGAAGACTTCTGTTGAAATCTTCTCTTTGTTCCCATTTGTCTTGGAATGTCTCCTCAGACAGTATATCTGTTTTCATCCATTGTGAACTCCTTTGATCTGGGAAGTCATGTCATTCATTCTGAGTTTTCTTTTGTAGATTGAAGATTTCCTTTCCCCTAATTTTTTTCTTCTTTAGTTTTCTAGAGCTTTTTATTATTTTAAAATTGGGTTGTTGGACCAGCCCTTTAATTAAAAGCATGTATATATTACAAATCGGGCTGCGAACCACAAGGTCAGCAGTTCGAAACTACCAGCTGCTCCGTGGAAGAAAGATGAGGCTTTCTGCTCCTATAAAGATTTTTAGTCTTGGAAACCCTGTTCAAGGTCGCTATGGGTCGGAACCGACTCCATGGCACATAACAACAACAACATATACATATGTTGTTGTTGTTAAGTGCCGTTGAGTCAGTCGTGACTCCTAGCAACCCTGTATAGAGTTTCTGACTTGTAATTAAAAGTTTGTTGCTGTAGGATAAATCCTGGACTATTAACCGCAGGTTGGTGGTTCAAACCCACCAGCTGTTCCTCGGAAAGCCTATACAGGGTTCCACTCTCTGATGTTTGGGAAGCCAATTATTGGTCATCCCTCAGCTTTTCAGCTTCTTGCATTTTGATGATGTTTTGTCCTTTCCTGATAATTGTCTTCATAGGTGACGTGGTTTTTAATAATGCCTCTGCCGTCATCACAGTAGTGGGGTTTCCAGAGAAAGTGACAATACATGTATGTGTTTAAGCCATCAGGGTAGCTTGGAAAGGTCCACAATTCAAATCTAGCAGCCTCGAGAGAAAGATGAGCAGTCTCAGAAACCCCGTCTGGGGTCACTTTGAGTCAATGATTTAGAGATGATCTCAGGACAGCAATGACTGGGATATTTCTAATATGCTTATTGGTGGTCAGGTTCAGAATCAGTGAGACCCTATAGCAGGAGAACTGTCATTGTCTACAGGCTACAGGAAGATGTCCCAGCACCAAAGACATTAAGGAGGAGACCTGGAGCCTGAGTACTGTTAATCCGACAGAGAGCATCGTGGGGGCCACCAAGAGAGGGAGCGGCTCACGA